ATACATACTCTAAGCCGGAGTCATTTCCTTTTGAGCCAGAATTCGACTTAGTACTAGCGGCTCTACGTTGAGCACTTTTCCTCCCCGCAACGTTCTCTTGCCCATGTGAAGACCACTCACGCCCTGTATCATACTTCTTCTGCGGGAATGTATTCTGCCTGTGCAAGAAAGAAAAACCAAACAAAGAGAATAAGATTACTGAACCACCAACGAATCGTTTGTGTCACTCAGACAAAGGACCAGTGACAAATCCAGAGAGACAAACAAACCTTTCAGGTCCCTCTAAAGCACCTGCAGCTTCCCAAGCAACTTGCCGCATTGTTTTCCCAGTGATATCCTCCAAAGGCATTAACTTATTTGCCTGCATAGACAGCTTTTCAATTCCAGCCGAAGCCAGTTGTTGGAGTATGTCCGCAACATCAGAGCCCATCTCTGCAGGCACCACAACAGGGCTAGAAACCTGCATGATCAAGCTCCCGCCAGCTTTGGCACTCTCGAAAAGTGAAGGATTCATAGAACGTACAAATCCACCATTCTTTGTTTGGAGAAATGGGCCTAAACCTTCAGCAAGAGCAGGTAATTCAAGTGGGTCTTCTGGAGATGGATCAATTTGAGCCCCAAAGGCACCACCACAATTCTTAGGTGGAGAACACTGAAATGTCTTGTCATTCAAGCCCCATTCATGCATTAAAGCCTCTGTCTCAACATCCTCTAAGATCTTGGCCCTAATCTTGCTATCCATAGGGTGAGTTCCCATGTCATTTTCTCCTTCTGCATCATCGATAAATGATGACAGATCAAACCCAGCTGTAGACTGTCCTTGCTCCATCAATCCATCATAGCTACTCTCCATCTGATCCCAATCCTCTGCATTATAGTCAAACAAAGAAAACCCACCAGCCAAGGCATCGTTCTCAAACTGCCTTAACAATAGCTCCCTTGGGGACTCAGGTTCACTCTCAGTACTCAACCCAAATGGACTTTGCTCAATTCCCAACATGTCTAAAAACTCATTCGCAATATCTTCTGCATCATCTGGGTTAACTGAATTTTCATTCCTGTCTGATTGATAGTCTGTTTCGGGTTCTCTATAGTTCTCCTTTTCATCAGAAGAGTCAAGTGCTTCAGTTTCCAATTTTGAAACACTATTTAACATGGATTCTAGTTCTTTCATAACAGACTCTTTTGAGCATAGATCGTCATCAGATTCCGAATCACGGGTCAAAGGTTCATCTTTATTATGATCATTCTTTCCTGTGCCCTCATCATGAAGATCAATACTCTCTTCAGGCACTACCTGAAGATTGGTATCAGATCCAGTTTCTGCAGTAGGGAAGCCATCATCCTTCAACGTAAGGTCCTCAGTTGTCTTGTTCTCATTCGGCAACTCCTTCCTGTCTTCAATGAGAGAAACTTCACTATTGTCATTTTCACTTTCAGCATTTGGTTCGCTAGATTCGGATACAGAAGGAAACTTCAGGTTATCAGGTATGTTTTCTCTGGCGGAAGCATCCAACTTTTCCTCTTCAGACCTCTCATTCATCATGTTTCCTGCTGCTTCAACTTCAAGTTTTTTGTGAGTTATAAATTCACGAAGATCTTTTACCTTTGCTGGAGACCGAGATTTGGCAGCAAGCTGCGAGTTAGAAGTGGTGGTAAGACTCTCATGACGACGCAAGGCAACCCTCCCTTCAGCTTGGCCCATTTTGGGCATTGTTTTTGCTGTTGCCAGATTATTCCTTTTGATACTTGCTGACTCAGGAGCGTTCTGACCATTTCCAGTCAAGCTCTCTCCAACAACTGTATAACCAAAACTCACATTCATCACTGCACCCTTAGCCTCTCCTGACAACTTATAACTTGTAGTCCACTTCCCAGAGCTTTTCTCTTCATCCAACTCCTCCAACGTGAGAGGAAGTAACCTCGTAAGATCAACCCTGTGCTTCCCCAAATCAACCTCAGGCATACCAAACACGGATGCAAACAGCAAGAAATGCTTCGCCTCATACTTCGCCGAATGATGGGGACCACTACGACTCCCGTAAACCAGACAAGTGTGCGTCAACTTCTGTTCAAAATCCGCAACACCTTCAAACACTTTCACAGGACTCGTCACCAGCTCCCCATCCCGCCTCTTCCAGTTCACACACAAGCTCACCCCATCAAAACTCGAAGGAAACCCTTCAATCGAATGAACTTGTAGCGAGAAACAACAATTGAACTTCCGGTTCTTAACCCCAGAAAGCGCCTTCAACGACGCCTTCCAGTTCCATATGGACTTCTTGTCCTTGCGCGACAAGTCTTCATTAGCCACCGCCACCCCAGCCCCAGGCTTGAGCTTCGATCTGGGATCGACCGCAGGCGGCTTCCCAGCTGCTTTTGCTAGGCTACTTGCCGTGGGTAGTAACGTCCTCGATGGTTTATGCTTGTCAAGGTACAGAGCTTTACTTATAGTTTGCAAATCATTCAACAGATTCTCCTCCCCTGCTTCCTCCCTATTCTTTTTCCCATGCTCCACTCTCGACAACATTATCTTCCCAAACCCAAATCACATGAAAGACAGCAATCCAGAGCGCCCAAAAGTCAACACTGCAATAAAGCAAAATCAGTAAGAGAAAAGAAAATTGAAGAAGCTCTGCTTCGAGTTCGTCCAAAAACAAAAACCAAATCTCAAAGCAATCGTCACAAATCACAATCCACCTCGATAAATCATGACAACTAAAGTTCTCAACCGGAAAACAACAACCCAGCTAAGAAAACAAGAAACTATGAAAGAACGGCTGCTTTAGACGACTAATCGATTAATCAAAGCGGGAAGCCATGACTGACCTGGAATCAAGAAAATGCAGGGGTTCTTCCCGAACCCTAGAGAATCACCGGGGGACGAAAGGAGGCGTAAAGCTCAAATTCAAATTCAAAATTGAATAGACGACGGCGATAAGGAGAAAATGGAAGGTGGCGGTGTGGCGAAGAAGTAGAGAAGAGCGGTCGAGGAGCGGGGTTTTGGATTCCAAAAACTCTTTCTGGGAGATGGTGGGGTTACTTTCTTGATTGGGTTAGTGTTTCCCTCTCTAAATTGCCGCTGTCTGGCGTCTTCGTCCAAAGTTTCAAAACCAACTACCAGACGTTTTAGACGAGTAGACAATTGTCTTACGGACAAGAACATTTCTGATTTGAGATTTCCAGGACACATTCCTCCCCTAATATCTCGGTTTGGTACTTCTACTTTGCTTTCTTTCGATTTACACCCTTCTAATTATTCCTTCGTCAATCATGCATCCCGTGATTAGGATATGGTATAGTAATTGAAAAGTGGTAAATTGGAGACTTAGAGCTTGGAAAGAGAGAATTTTTCAATTTTATTGTTTGGGAAATTTTTAATTTCACATGACAACCCATGTAAAGGAATCGTGATGTATCAAAGAAGAAGAAGAAGGCACAGGAGAAACTGACTATGGCAATGGGAGAATTGGTGGATCCACGATTGAGTGGCTTGCAAGTTGCAACCAGTCGACTATTCTCAATTAAGATGAACACTGAACTTCAGAACAAGCTAGGATTCATCAGAACATCAAACACACGAATGAACCGAAAGTAACTAAAGCGGGTAAATTGCAAGTTTGGTCACTAGAATTACTCAAAAATTTCACGTTTGCCACTCAAATTAATTTATTCCATCCGTAGTCACTCAAATTAGTTCATCAGTTCAAGTTTGGTCACTCTCCGTTAGTCTCCGTTAACTTTGGCTGATGTGGCAGTCAACTCTGAAAATTGACTGTTAAATAAATGACGTGGCAATTAAATAATAATAAAATTAATCTTTTAAAAATCCAGCTCATTAAAATAAATATCTACATGGAATTAAAATTATTTTACCCGAAATTTAATTAAATTTGTAAAAAAAAAAAATGTGAAAAAACGTACAGTTGAGGAGAACCGACAAGCTACCGGCGGCCATGTAGTCAGAGACGAGCAGCTTCAGCTTCTCGTCCCTGGGGAAGAAGAAAGCTTTAAGCAGAACCACATTGTCGTGCCTGACTTTCCCCAAAACTTTCATTTGCATCTCGAATTCCTTCTTCGTAAATCGTAACCACCACGTCTTTCAGCCGCTTGACGACCACGTCTTCCCGAGGACCTCCGTCGACGCCCTTAGTAGATCTTCGAGGTCGAAGCTGTAGACCCGCCGGTGATGTCGTTAGCCCCATTAGAGTTCCCAAAATTCATCTCATTCCCACCGCCTCCTCCATACCCACCACTCGACTGATCCATTGACGCTAGCGGCAGCGGCTGATTCCCATCAAACCCAATCCCCATATGGTCCCCACTCCCCACCTTTCTCCCCGGTTGTTCAATCAGTCGCCGCCATCTCATCCGCACGCTCTTCTTGGTCGCACTTCTCCCCGATCGGCCCCCTATCATTGCTCTGAGACTGAGAATTCGAACTCGGACCAAAAATTCGTTCATGGGTTTTGTGCTCTCCACAGTGTTCGATCCGCCGTTTTCCTCCGATGACGATAGAGTAGCGTCAAAATTCTGATTCGTCACCACCCCTTCTTTGACCCCAACATTATCTGCCACCGCCATGACCTGAAGCTCTCAAATTCCCCTCTAATCAAATGGAAAGATCGATTTCTCCTGTTGATCAACACACCACACACACGGAAATGGAAATCTCTCACTACCCAGAAACCAAAAAAATATCGATGTAATAATAGAGGGGAAGAGGTCCCGCTGCCTTCGACGGGAATGGATAGAGCGGCGGCTCCGGCTACTGGCCTTGGATGTTTCGGCCACTGATATACAAATTTAATTAAATTTCGAGTAAAAGAATTTTAATTCCATGTGATATATAGATATTTATTTTAATGAGGTGGAATTTTAAAAAAAATAAAATTTTATTATTTTTTAATTGCCACATCACTTATTTAACGGTCAACTATTAGAGTTGACTGCCACATCAGCTAAAGTTAACAGAGACTAACGGAGAGTGACCAAACTTGAACCGTTGAACTAATTTAAGTGACCACGAATGGAATAAATTAATTTGAGTGGCAAACGTGAATTTTTTAAGTAATTCTAGTGACCAAACTTGCAATTTAGCCTAACTAAAGCTATTAAGAAAGACGCTAGAAGAATGCTCATAAATAGACTGTTAAGTACTGAGTACATATGGACATAATCAATTTCCCAGGCAACGAAATGCCCCTTCCTATTGCACATGAGCATCATCAAAGAGAAGAAACAGTGATGTACAATGGTTCGTGGCCTCGATTAAGCAAACGGGGATTCTGCGATCCCAGTTGTAGACGAGAGGGGGGGATCAAGCAGTGCTGGCCATGGATTCAATTAGGATCTGGTAGCCTTCTGCCACAGTCGTCTGTGTAAGGACACACTCTGCAAGTGCAGGGACATCGGAATTGAGGTCTAGAAACCTAGCCAGGAATAGCATCAGATGGAAGTCAGATATCCTCTTCACGAATGGAAGGCTCCTTGCGCGTTCGAGGTGATTCTTCAGTGCCCTCATTGTCACTTGTGTGGCCCTGTTCTCAATAGGGAATGTTGATGTAAAAGGACCCTGCAAGAGAAAATCAAGACATTAGTATAATTGCTCAAAAACCATATGGAGGTTATAAGCAGTAAACAGAATGCCCTCGTTACGATCCACTCTATAAGAAAAAATCACTAATGTAAAGTGGTGATTTCAATCAACCGAGGTTAATAGCTGTTTCTTCAGTAACCAAATGCACATCATTCCACAAACTTGTGTACCAGAAGTACCAAGTTCTTTTGAGTGCCAGCATTAAAATGTGGAAAACTAGTACCACAAAATTGCATGTGAAATCAATAACAAAGAAGGCATAGCACACTGTTCAAAATGCAAGCTTGGAATAACAAGTTGAGCTCTATGTGCACGAAACAGTGCAAGGATGACCCTTATCTTACGTTCATGGATTCATTCCATTGTCACCTATCATTGATTAATATGCATCTATATGCTGCGTCTAATTCTCATAGCGATGAAAGATTGTAGAATCATTTATTACGACTAGTTTGTTTGTATGATGTATCACAACCATATCCCTAATCATCCTACTTTTACAGTTCAATAGCAATCTAAGCCAAACCAATAACTGTCACAATGCACAATGAGTTAGCACCACAAACAACATAAAGCCAACAAAAGAAAACAGGCCTGGCAAAGTAGTGGCAGTTAGCTAAGTATGTTCATGCATACTGGAGCAAGTGACCACTAAAACCTAAAATACGGTAGCCACAGTCGTTGTTACCAGAAAAAGGAAAGCACACTGTAACTAACGAGCCAATCCTTGGTGCCAACATGTTCACCTGGCCTAGTTACAATCTAACACCAGTTGCACTCACTAAACCCATCCCCACTAACGCAAGGCCGTTCTCCGAACACTGCATATGTAACATAACCTTCCCATTCGAGGACTGAGCCCATGACAGGATCTATAAGCAAACCTAGGTTCACCACAGAATACAGGTTATTATAGCCTAAGAGGCAAACCAAGCATAACGTTTGAATTCCTCTGCAATCTCCATCATTAACCAATCAAGGCCGACACCTACCTAATAATGTTTCCAAGCTAGTCTAGAGCAGTCAGAAAAGCAAGCATAAATTGACAGTATCAGAGATTTGACATCTTTGATCAACCCTATATCATTCGTACCAACATATAGATAAATAAAAACAAACAAACCATAGGAATGATGAAAATGAGGGGAACTTACCATGTGATCCAAAATCTTGACCACAACCAAGAAGAAATCGTTGTCGACCTCCTTGACATCTTTCACGCCCACAACAACATCCTTCTTCATGATAGATAACTTTGGATCCACATCCTGCCCAATCTCAGTCTCAAACCACCCTTCCTTGAATAGCTTGACGCACGTATCACTAAGTTGGAAGGCTTCAAAGTGAACATCCGCACCACCATCCTCGTTCACCTCCAACTTCACCACCGCAGTCACCCACTCCTTCAACTCACTCTCGGCATGGAGCTCGGCGGCCTGCAGAATCTCTCTATTAGACAAGGTGTAATCTTTCTTATCCTGCGCTATGGTCTGCGTGAATATGAACCCAACCCTCCTCATCCCCAACCCTGACGCAATAGCATCCACAGCTTTTTCTTCACCGGAATCCCTCAAAAGCAACAGAGCTTCCTCGGTCCCTTGCTGAGGCGGCTCGTATATGAAATCCACCTCAACTTTCCCCTCTTCGGAGACCGTCCCGTACATAAACCCGCCCCTCTTCACCGCGAAGGCGAGGGTCTCGTTGACGTAGTGCTGGAACGCATTGGCGGAGTCTCGATCGAAGGAAACCGACTCGCAATGCGGGTTCTCCTGCCTGGAGACCCGCATCTGCTTGGCGATCAGATCGTCCATGGTCATCTTGCGGCCGAAGGATCCGGCGGGGGAGACCGCGGGCCCGGCGATGCTCCTCTCGCCCTCGTAGGCCAGAAACACGATGGAGCCGTGGGCTAGGTTGAGCGCGGAGAGCGGCGTGGCCGGGTCGGCCATGTCGGCGAGCTTGAGGAGATCGGCGGGGGATTTGGCGAGCAGGAGGTTCTGGTTGGTGGAGAGGGTTTGGTTGTGGATGGGGATTTGGAGCTGGGACTGAATTAGGGTTTTGAGGTGCCCGACGGTGGTGCAGGAGGCGTCGACGGAGACCCGCTCCAGGCCGTCCCGGCTGCGGATTCTGAGCATCATGGTTGGTTGGGCTTGGGCGAACTTCGAAGAGAAATTCGCGGCCGGCGAGAGGGGCTTTTTATCTCTTCCAAAAAAAAAATATTTTGCTTCAGGATTTGGTAACCAGAGAACCAGTTCTTGGAGTCTGGCGATTGAAGAAGAAAGCTTGTGAAGGCTTCTAGCCTATAGGCTTCTGAACTGTGTTCCAGAGAATTTTGTTTTTATTTTTTGTTTTTGTTTTTTTTCTTTCTCCTTCGATCTTGGCTTGCTGAAGGAGGCAGACGGCAGGGACATACGCACCGTTTTATATAGAACTTCTGGTTTTTCCTTTTCCGTTTTGCAAACTGCAAAAAATAAAAATATATTATTACCAAAAATTTCTTTTCCGAATATAGAACTGATTGGGATGATGTTGGGCCCGAAGGTTCTGTACAAAAGGCCCACAAAATTTGTTTTGTGGCTAAAGCCTACGGGCCAGTGAGACGGCCCAGCACATAAGGATTACTTCCCGCACCAAGTCTTAAAGATTTGATAACCATCCGTTTTCCAGCTAGGGAAGGATGCTGTTGCAGAAGAAGGCTGCTAAATTTGCAGCAGAGAACGGCTGGGACTACACAGCCTTGTATTCGAAGGTTCTCATGCTCCTTTCACGCCCTTACAATGCTGCAAGAGGCATGAATGAATAAGAACTTGAGTCCAGTACACCACTCTTTCAGCCCCTTTCGGTTCGAAAGAATGCTAGTCTTGTAATACTCGTATCGCATCGCTGCATCAATATCTTGCGCTTGTGGACTTCTTCTGTCCATCTCATTTCGTGCATCAGCACAATGAGTCTCTGGCATCTGTTCAATCGACTCCCCACACTAACAATCTAACACGAAACTTTATAGCTAAACTCTCACACAGTAGGCAGTTTCGCATTCTTTACCCAACAAATCTCAGTCACTCTGAACAGTTTGCAGAAATGAGGCCACTGAAGGGGATGAGACAAGAGACAGGAGGAACCAAGGAACTAACTACAAATACTGGAGATGTTGTTTCGCTGAGGGGAGACGAAGTGAAACGACAATCAGGATGATGATGATGATGATGATGCAGGAGGTGGGGGTGGAGAAGACAGAGCTTCTGTCCGTAGCTCTTTCACAACAGCAGCCAGTGCCTCGGGGTTCAGTCCAAGGTCGCAGAGGGCGATCAGCACCGAGAGCGTGTGGCGGTCAAGCCCCGTGTCGAGAATGTTGGACATCTGGAACGACAATTCCAGAGATTCGCGTGCTGTCTTTGCTGCTTCTGGATCCATGGATGAAATGGGAATTTTTTTTCGAGGCAGAACTGCAATGCAATCACCAAAGCCAAATGAAACAAACATTGTTTGCTTGGGTACTTAAGTTGCAAGATATACGAACTGAACTGATATCGCTTAAGCGAAGCAGGAACGAAGAGATGGAAATGCTTTCTGAACTTGGAAACACATAACACACAGCACTGCAACTTCATACAGTTATGACAATTGCAGATATTTGATGGTGAAACAAAGAGTTCCCCAGTAGGCCATTTGAGGAATGATCATCCTAAAACCGATAACCCATCAGAGCCTATATCATAAGGGTATATAATCGGGCAAAACAAGAAAACCCCAACAAAAGTGGTATCAATTCCAGTACTTAAATCCCTCCATGCCCTACCATTTCTCCAAAGCCAGAAGCATCCAAGCCAAACTGTAATTATGGAGAACGAAAATGGAGGTTCGGAAACAAATTGGTTACGGATCCGCTGCTTCTTTCATATCCGGCGGAGAAGGAGAGCAAGAGAGAGGATGATTGCTGCGTTATAAACCCTAAACCTTGCGAGCGAATTGCAGAACGTAATAAATGCACAAAAGAGGAGCAGAACAAGGCACCTTCCGAATAGAAACGCGCTGAAATGATGAGATGAGTTTGGGGCCGAGAAGCAGGAGACTGGGCGAACGCCGGCGGGGTCCGGTGGAGCTTTCCCGACGCAGCAGAGCCGACCAACCCACTTCGCTTCCTCGATCTTGAGGGACGGACGCGGCCAAGCAGGGGATTCAGATCGAAGGATTCAGGGATAGATTTGTATTAAATTCTGTTTGTAGTAAATACGTCAAATTAAAAAAGCAACGGGCCAAGAGCCCAAGACACTAGATGGGCTGAGCCTACAATTTAAAACTGTAGTTACAAATACCAAACGGCCAATACTAGGGTGCCGCATAAAAAAGTGCGGCACCGGTGACGCTGATTTTTATTGGGTCACGTGGGGCTGATGTGGCATTCCTATAGTTCTAGAACCCGGGCCAAATCTAACTTCCTATTAGAACTTGGTTGAACCGGTACTTGACCAAACGGACGGAATTCTTTCCGTTGCTTTTTTTTTTGCACTTCGTTATATTCCCAAATTATTTTATTCAGTTTTATTCGTTATTTTTTTTCCTCTAGAAACCTAGGAAAAGAATCACAAAGGAAAAGTGAAACAATTCGACATCGATCTCCTTCTCCGGCAGACTCTATAGAAGGATCTTCGTCATCGATTCAGTCTCAGGATCTTTGCAACAGCACCAAGGAGATTATTCTCTGTTTCCTCCATCTTTTCTTTAAAACAAAGGCAAAAAATCCCGACCGTCCCTCTGTATCCGCCGAACAGCGTCGTCGCCGTAGTACCAGTCGAATCCTCCTCAACGAACAGCGCCGTCGCCATAGAATCAGTCGAGCCCTCCTCAACAAAGAGGAGGGTCAATCACCCTCTACGTCGTCCCTCTCCATCTGTTTCGTCTTTTATTGAATCGTCGAAACCAAGCTCGTGGAATGGAAGACGAAGACAATGACAATGACATTGGTCATATTTCACTCTTTTCATTTCTGGGAAACAAATACATCATCGACGATACATAAACAATTCCATTCTACTGCCGTCTTCCTTCAACTGCTCATAACTATACCATCCCATTACGAGCTGCTAATGCTCAAGAAATAATTTATTTCTCGCTCTTGACATCTCCACCATGCGCTGAGATACTGTTGTCCCACCCCCTGGAGCAACGGAAAAATGCTCAATGGAAAATTGCTTCAGCTTATGCTTAAGCCAGCAAACTGGAACTGCAACTGCAATGAACTAAATAGAATTCCATCAGGATGCTACATAACACGGTTCTCTGATGGTGTATGATCAGTAGCAATACATTCCTACAAACACAATCGCGCAATTAATCACAAGCTGGTATGGGAAGCATCATACTCATTGGCTAAGGGTTAAACTGCTAACCTGTATCCCCATCGAACATGCTGCAAAGGTCCCAAACCTTTAAATTTTTGTACAGCAATCATTCCAGGATACCTAATTCACATGTCATGACACCAAACATGCTTTTGCCAACTGAAAAAAAGCACTTAGCTGCAGAAAGCCCTAAATACACTAATTAAGCAATCAATATATGAAGCCAAGACAATAATCTCAAACATCACAGCAAGAAAAGCTCCATCAGGGAGTAACAAAATGACAAGTTATTGATATAGTGTACTAATAACATAATGACAAAGTAATCACATCATTACCAGGGTCTGGTTCTTCCATTTCAGAGGCCATAGAAGCATCTGCTAAACGTTGATGACTGGTGACTAATCATTTCATAGCCGAGAACTTGTTCCTCCAGACTCCCGTTGGATTCCCAGACCTCCTCTCTGAATGCTACTGATATCGAATATCGATGCAGGGCGCAAAAGATACGCCATTATATGCATACGATAGAGGAAGCAGCGAAAGATTTGCTAAAGGTACCCCATTAGTCTTCTCCACGTCCATCTTCCAACTCTATATACCATTTCACCGCAGGGAAATTCTTTCTCTGTAAATGAATAAGCCGGTATGTTCACAATAATGGTATCAGGACTAAATTTTTTGGAGATTCTTGATATGGGAAGCAATTAACAGATTTATGTCATTAACATCAACATATTATCATCCCTAGTTGTCCTCCCGTCTCTCAAAGTCGTGGACCTCTCATTCAACAAACTCCTAGGATCAACTTAACTAGAAGGTTTATGCGGAATCACTTGTCTCCTTCAGTTCAAGGGTTTAATTGACTTCAGCAAAACACAGTATTAGCAGGGGAATGAAAGGCCTCGTGTAATTCTGTCATAATTAGATGAGAGAAATATTTGCCTTTATACACCTGCCCCTAACTCTGCTATAATATATTTGTAGACTTTTTCAGCAACCCCAACTCTGCTATAATATATTAGTAGACTTGTAGAGATATGAAATAATAATTAATTAAATAGACTAAAATAAAAAAGGAAAAAACCAAACGGAGTCTAGGGCCGGTGTTTTGGCCACTAAAGGTCGTCCGACGTCGGTGTTCTGACCAACATAAGGGGTTTGATTCCTTCGTGGCAATGGCGGCGGCGGCTCCAAGCGTGGCGGAGACAAGTTCACCCGACCTACTTCAACACAGGGGCAACGACTTCTTCCAATTGGCGGAGAGTCCTCCCAGAGGGCGGGGCCGACGTGTTCTTCCAAGTAGGGATGGCAATGGGTCGGGTTGGGTCGGATTTTGTCAAACCCAAATCCAAACCAATGGGTTTATCCATGAAAAAAAAAAAACCCGGGATAAAACCCATTGGGTTTGGAAAACTCAAACTCAACCCAACCCGCTGGGTATCCGCAGGTTCATGGGTACCCATGGGTTTTTGTCGTAAAAAATTTACAATAACAAGTTCCTATCAAAATAAAAGTCAAATATCAATCTCTCAATACAAATTATCCTTATATAAAACACCATTCTAGAAAATTCAAGCAAATCACAAACTAACAATACAAATTGTTCAACACCAATCTAGAAAACTGAAGAAAGTTGAAGCAAATCACAAATTATCCATAAACAACATGATTAATTGAAAGTTTCTTCCTCCTTGTCAATTAAGCTTCTTCGCTCTCCACTCTATAATATCAACTTCATTCTACACAATTAGAAAGAAAACATTAGACATGTCTCCACAAACATAAAGAAGATTAGTTGTTTAGAATATTAATTAAACCGAGAAAATTAATTATATGAGTGTGGACGGGTACCCATGGGGCGGGTTTACCTAAACCCAAACCCAACCCGGTAAATAGTGAACAAGTTTAAACTCAAACCCGGCCCAAAACCCATCAACAAGGGTTTTACCCGCGTTGACCGGGTTGAATCGAGTAGGGTACCCATGGGTTCGGGTTTTGTTGCCATCCCTATTTCCAAGAGGCCGGGCCGGGGAGGGTAGTGAGAGAGGGGTTTATTTAGGGGTAGAATGGTCATTTTAGAGTAATTTTAGAGTAATTGTCAGAGATGTTGTTGAAGTTGAATTTGAGCAGTCAAGACCCTTTTTGCTCGGTAGCTAGTTCGGTGAGGAGCTGATAGACATGAAGTTTTGGTTGAGTTGCTGCTTGGAACCGGAGATGAAGTCTTTGTCCTGGGAAATCCAGAATTTCAAAGTTAGAACTGGTTTCATAGGCATGAAGATCAAAGCGCGGGTCATGAGTGTGAATCATTGGATCCTTCACATAATGTTTCAAAGTAGACAGAATATTATCTACTACACCTTAGAATCCAGTGCTGAAGCTAGAAAACAGAGTGGACCATTTCTGTTCCAAAAAAAAAAAAAGCAAGTTTCTACGAAGATAACTTTCAGCTTCTTTTCTAATCCCTTGCGATGAGGTCTTTCCCGATTCTATTGTCGAATTGTAGAAGATAGATAGATTGGTTTGAATGACTGCATTTTGCTATAATTTAATCATTTTCATTCAACGTTTTTCTCAAGTATTTCTTGATTACTCTTACTGTTCATGAATAGAATCTCATAAGCTCAAAATTTGGATAATTCAAACCACTAGCTGCGGATTATGCTACTTAATTTTTTATTTATTTTTCAAAATTCTACAAGACACCGGCCAACGGGCCGGACCCAATGCTAGTACTTATATATGTACTTTTTCAACAATTTGATTGAGAATTGGAAGTTTCACAATTCCTCATCTTTTCATAAGTAAGTATACAAGTTGTCTCATTCTCGATTGGACCAATCGCAAATACCGCGTAAACACAATACTTATCACCATCCATTTAGTAGGGTAGGGCAACTAATTAGTTGAGTTAGTAGTAAGCACTCTGAGTAGTCGATGTCGTCGGCAAATCTACCATTAATTTCTGACTGATCAAAACGGGGTTCATCCGATGAAGAACACAAAATGGACAAAAGATGCAGGAAATTCTCCGTTATTATTTTTCTTCATATAGCAAAAAGACAACCTAACTTATATATATTTCAAAAGTAGTGCAAGAGGAATATTAAAAGAACAACCATATCCTACCCGCCAAAAACCAAAAAGCTTAAAACAAGGGCACACCCTCAAACACACTGATCTGTAGCCAGCCAAGCCAGTTCAACTTGCACATAACAACATATTATCGACTTCCCTCTTTTGTTACTTGGGAGGTTTATCTCTCAGGTAGTTCCTCAACACATCCATCACCGACCCGAAGTCGGCCTTCACTTCCACCGGCGGGTTAGCGAACCGAGAAGCCATCTCCGGGATGGCCTTGGAATGGTAATCGATCTTGGACTGGGAAAACTTGAGCCCGTGCGCCGTGCTGACCACCACGGTCCGGTCGCTCGGCCCTATGACCCCGCTCTTCCTCAGCTTGATCAGCGCAGCCAGGGCGACACCGGTGTGGGGGCAAATGAACATCCCAGTGGAGTCGGCCTTGGCCATCGCATCCATCAGCTCCTCCTCGGTCGCCTCCTCGACGATCCCGTTCGATTTCTGCAGGGCGTAGACCGCCCTGTCGATCGAAACAGGGTCGCCGATCTGAATCGCGGAGGCGAGCGTGGTGGTCGCATTCACCGGCTTGAAATCCGTCCCCCACCCGGATTTGAAATGCAGGTAGAGCGGGTTGGCGTTTGCAGCCTGCGCGCAGACCAGGCGGGGGATTCGGTCGACGAGGCCGAGCTCCTGGCACATTTTGAATCCTTTGTACAAGGCGTAGATGTTGCCGAGATTCCCCCCTGGAATTATGACCCAATCGGGGACTTCCCAGTCGAATTGCTGCAGGATCTCGATCGCGGCGGTCTTCTGGCCTTCGAGCCGCAGGCTGTTGAGCGAATTGGCGAGGTAGATGGGGAGCTCGGAGGTGACCTCTCGGATCAGCTTCATGCACCCGTCGAAGTCGGTGTCGATGCTGAGGACGAAGGCGCCGTTGGCGATGGGCTGGACCAGCTGCGCCATGGAGATCTTGTTGGCAGGGAGGAAGACGATGGAAGGGATGTCCGCGGAGGCGCAATAGGCGGAGAGCGCGGCGGAGGTGTCGCCGGTGGAGGCGCAGCCCACGGCGACGAGCGGGTAGCGGTTCAATTTCCGGAGGCGGTTCACCTGGCTGACCAGAACCGTCATCCCCAGGTCCTTGAAGCTCCCCGTGTGGCTGATCCCGCAGTGCTTCACCCACAGGTCGTTCATGCCCACCAGGTGTTTGCCGAAACGCTCGGCCCAGAAGAGGTTGGAATTGCCCTCGAAGGCGGAGACGATGTCGTCCGGGTGGATCTCGGGGAGCACCCACTCCTTCTTGGACCAGACCCCGGACCCGTACGGCCACGTCGTCTTCCCGACGCGGGAGTCGAACAGGTCCCGCCAGTACGCGCCGTCGAAATTTTTCAGCGCGTCCATGTCGTGCTGGACGTCCAGCAATCCCCCCGACCGGCTCCGGTACACGGTCTCGTCGAGGGAGTACCACTCATCGGAGTCGGGGCCGGCGTTGAACGGAACGTATCTGGCCGATAAGGTGTTGGCCGCAGAGGCGGCGCGGTGGCGGCGGGCCTCGTCGCGGATGTCCTCGTCGGCGGGGCGGCGGGGCTTGACGGAGTTGGAGGAAGGGGCGGGGTCGAGGGTGGATGATGTGCAGGAGATTACGGCAGGGAAGCGGCGGAGGCGGGGGCAGGGGGCAGAGCTTGGGATGCGGAATTGGGAGTTGGCTTGGTTGCGGGGGAGGGATGCAGCAGCGGCGACGGCGGTGGAGGAAGGGGAGGAAGACCGGAAAAAGGAGGAAGAGGCGGCCATGGTTTCCGGCGAGGCGGCGATGGGGTTTTGTGGCAGAGGTGGTTTTTCCAAACCCTAAGATATTATGCTAAATTTGGGTTTTTCACCAAATATGGGTTTAGTGAGAAAAGGGTTTGGTTTTAACCAAGATGATCTAGTAATTAAGTAATAACTTTTATACACTAGTTCATATAATTTATAGTACGAATTGGTTCCTGGTCCTAGTCAGAGACTAGTATGGTAAAACGTTCTCAAAAAGACTAAGGAATGATGTAATCAATCATTCTCAATTTATGGCTCTTTTTTAAGTTGGGTTTTCTCTTCCGGAGGTTTTATTAATCTATTCAATTGCACACTGTATATTGCTACAATTTTAAGACGTTTATAGCTTGCTATTCAACATAATACTTACAATTAATAATAATAATCAACAGTATCAGATGAAAAGTAAAACTGCCCACCCCATTCAAATTTTCCTACTCGTAAAGTGATTTGAGGAAGTTGATGTGGCAGCCCATATAGACGGGTTTTTTGTATCTTCTCCTGTACACTGAAAACTACTCCCTCTCTCTCCCTTTCTGGCGATTTTCCTATTTTCTCCGCAGGATAGTTGGAGGATCCATTTTGGGGAAGGTGCTAAGACCCTGTTTGTATGATCACTGCATGTAAAATACCTTCCTGTTTGTCTCAAAGGTGGGAAGTAAACCTCAAATTTTGAAGGGTGCAAGTAATCTCCTTTTGCTTTACAAATAGCAAATGCTGCAGTTTATGATTGAATCGAATGAGACAACATGTATTTGTATTATACTGAAGTAGTCACTGGTTGCAAGTAATGAACAGCAGCTTTATCTACAAAATAATGTTCTGAAACTGTAATAGATCGATACATGGTATTGCTATGCTTCCCTCTCAAGAAATGTCTGTGCAGAGGTTGGTGCTGAATTTCCAAATCTAAGGCTGTACCCATATTATCAGATCAAATTCCTGTCAAAACTAGTAATAAACTCTGGCCTATGTAGTGTTGGTTCTCTGCTCTGTACACTGACTCGTTTCCTGTATCACCAAATCTGTACTCCATCTTTACAAAATGCAACGTAGGAGGTAAGTGTTGTCTTCCACCAGTCCTTCACTTGCCTCTTCAATCATCTGGCAGAACATATAATCGAAGTCAGAAAGACGGACAAACAAATGAACGAAAAACCGAGCTCAGTAACCAGGCAGCAATTGATAAATGGTTCGCTACTGGACTAACCTCAAATCCCATCTTCTCAAAAAGCTGCAGTGCAGGTTTGTTGTTTCTATCCACATGAACGTACATAACTTGCACACCTGCCACCAGAATCAACAATATTCACAACTTAAGCCTCATGAACTGTAATAACGAGCCATTTCTAAGTTTATATCCTGTGATTTTAATACCTACCATTAGACTTGGCCGTTTCAATTGCAAACTGCATCATGTTAGTTGCTATCCCCTGACGACGAGCAATCCTCGCGACCGTCAAGTCGGAGACGTAACCGTATCTGCCTAGAGTCTTTCCATATACCCCAGGGAAGATCTCTCCAGGCAGCAACCAGCGGATGCTCAAGTCCAGAGTCCCAACCACACTTTCCACTATTGTGGGTCTCACCATCCCAACTTGCTTTCTCAGCTAAGTAAAGAAACAACGAGGATGACTTTGTAATGTTTTCCCTCATGCTGCTATGCAAAAATATAAAACTCTAGACCAAGGAAGCACGTACTGTGATTATGCACTTAGGCTGTTGGCCAAATGGACCAATGGATTGCCTTCTAATGGCAAGGAACTCCCGCCACCCCTTAAGGAAACAGAGCCAGTAAATAGATAATTCAGTGGAATCCTTGTTTATACCAGAAGAAGCCAACTGAAGAAGAGTAAAGAAAAGTCCACAGAAAAGTCCACAATTGCTACCTGATTCGCAGCTTCCGCCTGCAGACTAGGAGCAAATCTGTGTTCATCAGATATAGGCCAAAATCATTAGGGTCTTACTACTGGTCTTAACCTTAACAATGAACCATTCAATCCAAATGCACTACAATCAAGTTTTCAAGTAAAAGGCGATCAATTTGAACCAGCAAGTGGACAAGAACAGCATGAACACGAATCAAGGAATAGGACCACAACAATACAGAAATTGGGAATTAGTAAAAGGCAGTTTTGATGGATTTTACCGTACTTGAATTCAGGTCGATCCTCCCAGTGGCTTAAACCTCGCATTAAGCCTGCCATCTGCGGGCAATTACAAGAAGCAAACATTGGAGTCATTGTTGCTTAACGGCAATGGCCCACGATACTGTGGCCAAGAATAGAAACAAGAAGTGCGAGGGATAACCAGATGATTCAGAAGGTTTCCTTCCAGAAAACAAATAGAACCCAGATGAAGGAACTCCAATTGCAGCAGAACCCAGACGGGGAATCAACTGTGAAACGTTGTTTAGAAATAGAAAGAGGGCTTTACCCAGTATTCTTCATCAATTAAAGCCTCTCTAGCAACGAATTCCCCGAACTCCATCTTGTCAATGTCCACCAAATCCTGCTCGGGTATCTGCAGGCGGTGCTCATCAGGCCGAGTGGGCGTGTCGTCCCCTTTTGGACCAAAAGCTGCGGGGTGATGTATGTGTAGCGAAAGCTCTTCCCTCTTCTTGGTCAGGAAAGACCCAGAATTCATCGCCCTGAAACTCGGACGAAAGATATCCGAACAAGAACTGAATCAGGGACTTCCCGAGAGAGGAAAGAAAGAAAGAAAATCGAATCAATGGCGGTCACTAAATTTCCCACCCAATTCCCAGATAGAAAAGAAGGAACTGAAAGAACCAAGCAAAGAAACAGAAAAAGAGAAGAGAAAGCGTCGTTAGATTCGTACATTCTCCAAGAAGCGGCGACAGTGGGGAGCTTGTGAATGCTTCTGGAGGAGGCCGGGGAGGTGAAGAGCACCGGCGGCGCGTGAATGGGAACAGCGGTAGTGAGCATGGTAGAAAGAACTTCTCTGAATCGGCTTCCCGCCCAAGAATTTCGATCTTCTGAAGCAGAAAGAGCAGAGGAAGAAGAAGAAGAAGAAGAAGAAGAAGAAGAAGAAGAAGAGAGGGTAAATGGCGATTGCTTCTTTTCTGGCTGGTTGATTCGTCGCTTTCCAAACTACTCTATGTGAGACTCTCTGATTCTGTTGGTTTGTTGCGGTAATCACAGAAGGGGAAAGCTTATAAAAGGAAGGAAAAATAGCCGTGGCCGTTCCCGGCTGCAGTGGGCCCCGCAACTTTGGATGAGGTGGAAAATAAACAATAAAAAACATATATATATTCTTATAATCCATTCACCTAACTACCCTGCTAATTTTTCGCTTTTACTGAAACAAACTTTGCGCACTGCATGCTTTACCTGACCGGTTAGTTCGATAAATTTTGCTTTAATTCTTTTTTAAATGATTTGGTGATTTTGTTAACAATTTGAAAACAATTTTTGTGCTACTTGTCCTGTGATTAACATTGTCTGTATTTTTATTACAATATGCATTCATAAGAATGGTCGTCAAAATATCATCAGGAACAATCCAAGATCAGCAAGAGAACCATTTTCTCCTCTTTTCACTTTCTTCGGAAAATAATGAAGATAGAATTATTTGCATACAAACAATAAGAAGTCAGAAACTGAACCACCTATATAGTATTAGATAGTGACGAGTCAAAAAGTCAAAGGTACTACATTATACCAAAGGGAGCTCGCTACTGAATTGAGCTTTCGACTACTGCCTCCTGTTTTCTAAGGTATGGCAACCCGCCACAGTAAAGAAGACCAGTATTGTTTCACTCGTTTCTTTTACCCTTTTTTGGTCCCAATAAGCAGCAGCAGCAAACCCTCAAACACCTCCATCACATTGAGCTTTTAGTTGCTGCAACTTCAAACAGAAAAACATACACACACTTTTCAGGTCCTCCGATGAGTTCTCAAAAATTCAACATCGAAACACGTCATCGCCCTTCAGAATCTGTATTGAAACAAACCGATTCGGGGGGAGAAGAAATGAGCACGGAGACAAGTATAGAAGCAAAGACACAATTCACTCGTGCAAGAAGTATGCTTTAAATGAAATCTCAGAGGGATCAAAAAATTACCATGGCTGGTAACGCTTGAAGAATCAGGTTCATCATTCCTCGGAGCATATTTTTCAAGGAACTGCTGAATAGTAGCCCAGTAATGATCCCCACCAGCCAGCCAGGTATCCATGTGCATGCCGGAAGGAAAATCCACAAAAATGCATTCCTTGTTGTGAGCAGCTGCTTTGGCATAAAGCATCTGCATGTGGGACGGCGGAACCATCTCATCTTGCAAACCCGACAGGAGAAGGATTGGTCGCTGAACCTGCAATTACATGTTACATTTATGCTCAACATTTATAGCGCAGTAGCAGGCATTGGAGAAGCTATTGCGGTTCAAAGAGATTTTACATGGCAGATTGACAGTTACTGCATCTGAAACATAGGTTGGCATAAGCAAAGTGAGCTTGGAATATCCATCCTCTCAGCGAAAAATAAAACCATGTGTGGGATTCTTTTTCAATAATGGACCACTACTCTCATTTATTTAATAGCAGAATGCACAACTTCAGAAACATGACATCGTATTTAAATGTGCGAATGTAGAAGAGAAATATTTGAAATATCTGAGGAAGGGGGGTTTCCCAAAGTCTGCACTCACCTCGCCAATCACATCGATTGTGTTCCATGGAGAGCGTACGACAAAGTTTAAAATTTTAACACCTTTTGCACCAGATCCTCCAATCACCCACTTCAGAAAGGGGAGGAGAACTCCTGCCATATCCAGAATAGACGTAAAAGTATTTTCCAGTATAATACCAGCAACCTGAAAGGCATGGCCAAAGCAAAAAGAAAGGTCAAGAACAATGCCTCATCATCTACGACTTGCCGGCCTTAAGAAGAACAAGGGGTAGAACTAAAGTACATATTAAAAATAAAATGTCCACTGGTCATGTCTCATAAATCTCAAAGATTGCATATTGAATTCGAAGAGCTAGTAACTACTAGACACATACTACTAGATTTCACATGCTAAACAGAACAAAACATCAAGCGCGAAACCATGTGCATTTGTATATTTAAGGAGTTGGCTTATGGGTGCCATTTCTTTTTCTCCACCACCTTTTTCTTCTTCAGAAGTAGAGGAGCTCTCTAACAGCTTCAAATAGTAATGTGATCCGTAAAAATGCCTTAGCCAACGCCTCTAACCAATAATGTGGCCTAACTCTATATAGATGAGCAAGCCCAAGATTCCTGGTGATGTCTTTTCCAATTCTCTTAACAACGATGAACTGATAGTATGCGACAGCCTGATGGCATGGGGTATCACTGTTACTGGCATCCAATTTAAACAATTCTTAACAGGAAGAACACCGGAGTTTGAAGAGCACCAACATCAAACTAGTTTCCCAAAGGAGACTCTGCATTAACTAGTCCTTCTCGCATTCTCAAAGTGGTTTGTTAGCTAGGCTTAGACTGTGACTCAATCTTATGCAATCCATTCCTCAAATTCCAAAGCTCAAAGGAGTTTCAAATCTCAGTCTTCAAGGAACTAGGAATATCGGATATATGAAGAGAACAAAGTCCTTAATGTTAAGCAACTGGGAAGAGAATATCATGGAACTTCCGTGGAACTTAAAGCAAACAAAAGCTCACTAGAAAGACTAGTAAACTAGAAAAAATGCAGCTTCATCCTATACAAATGGATGAGCTTGACTAGCTTCAGGAGGTTAATGAAAGGCCAGGATTACACACAATCTAGGAAGAAGAGTGAGGAGGAAGGGCAAAACTTGATTTATAATAATGCAATAACATTTACCAGGATAATACCTTGTCAGGGTTGTTTCTCGTAAGTAAGGCTCCAACAGCACCACCCAGTGACCTGCCAAACACGACTATTCTTGAGGTATCAATATCATTTCGCTGACAGAGATGATCCAATGCAGCCTGGAAAGAAGATTTTTAAGTGAGAGGCTGCCACCATCAGACATACATAAAGCAAAGGATAGACTACAGATGCCCCACCTGAGCATCCTTTGTAATTCCATGCTGGGAAGGAGATCCATCACTCGCTCCATAGCTATAAAATTAACAGAATGAATCATATATTTTAGCTCAGGCAAGTACAAGATATTCAAGACAATAAGACATGTCCATTACGTTGATACAAATGATACAAGATAAGGAAAAAAGAGAAACTCTGACAACAAGAATGTCCATCGACTCATACCCACGGTAAGAAAGCATGAACACATTGCACTGCAGCTTCTGTAGCATTATGCGGACCATTTCAAGACGATGAGCAATATCTGCAAGCCTCTAGTTAAGGCAACACCAATAGACTGTCACCCATGTAGAAGAAACATAACAGCAAACACAAATTGTAGTAGCAACATAACAGCATGCACAAATTGTCGAAGAAACATGATAGCAAGCTAAACTTGACTACAGCCAAGGCAACCTAATCCCAACGCTGACAAGGATACTTCCTGCATTCTCCTGGAAGAAAAGGATGGTTGGACCTGCAATGGCAACGAAAACCTTTCAGGATAACAAGCGAAATGCTGCAGCGAAGTTCAGAAACAGCCAGTTCCCGCAGCATGTCAAATTTCATCACAAATCACGTCCGAATCAGTCCTATGTCGAAGTAAAGTTCTTGATCTCGTTCATATAAAACATCCCACATGCACTCTTACATACGACCGCAAAGGCAACTCACCCCTATTTTAGCATCCGAAAATCTCAATTCAAATTGGGGAGTAGCCAAAACCTAGAATTTCAAACCTAAACCCCCCAACCCCACATCAATTCACCTACCACAGTTCGCAAGTCTTCAGCACAGCTGAAACATAAACCCTAACCCAACGGGAAAACAGACTAGAAGAAAGGGATCCAGAGAAGGTACTAGAAGAAATAGAACATGCGAAGAAGAAGGGGGGAAATGAAAGAGAGTGGAGGAAGGAATTGCGGAATTATGACCTCTGCAGTCAGGGAAGAGCTTGATGAACCAGGCATGGAGGCGGACGCCATCGGAGGATCGGAGCCAGACGTCCTCGTAAGTGAGACGGAGGCGGGCGGGAGTAATCGGGTAGGACTTGGTGAGACCAGGGACGACGGGGACGTAGACGAGCCGCTCTTGAAAGGCAACCAGCAAGGCCATCCCGGTGAAGACTATGCCGCCGACGCCGTAGAGGAGGATGTTGAGGTACGCCACCATCTTTCCCGGCGGGGTAGTTTCCGCGTTTCGATCGGATTTGATGATGGGTAAAGGGAACGCCGAATCCCCCGAAAAAGGCAACTCTTTAGCCGTGAGGTCGCAGTTGATTTGCTATGCTGTGCTTTGGGGGCATTGGAGTACGTCAGCGCGAGTGTGGTCTGCCTCTCTGTCACTGTGAATTTGCATTCTTTCGTTATCCTTCTTGATATTTTCATTTGGTAAAAATTTAGGCGTGATTTGACAACTATGTATTGCGGAATACGTGTATTTATAGAAAGTATGTATTTTGTTAATCAAACATTCAAAGTTTCAAACTATAAGAATACATGTACTAGAGACTAGAGTAGAGACCAGAGAGTATATTGTCTGGGTTGCAAGATGAGTTGATTGTGTTAGAGAGTATATTATCTAATTACAAAATAACGAGAAAAAAATAAAATTGAATTTTTTCCCGTTACTATTTTTTAATAGGGACCGAAAATAATTTTGTTTTTTCCCGTTATTTTTTTATTTGTTAGAGTAAATAATAAAAGAAATTTGATATTTGCATTTATTTTTTGTTTGACGCTGACATGGCAGTGATTTGAACTATTGCCTCAAGGTCAATGGTTTGACCGTCCAAGACGGTCAAACCACGCTTCTGACTGTACGTGGGCACCGGGCCGTGCCGCCCACGGGCTAGCACGACATGGCACGGTTAGAGCACGACACGAGCACGGGCACGAAATAAATGGGCCAGCCCGGCACGAGCACGAATAATTTATGGGCCGTGTCGGGCCTAAATTTCATGGGCACGGGCACGGCACGGTATATAAGTGGGTCGTGTCGGGCCTAATATTTTCGAGACTTTATTGAGTATAAGAACGGACATGGCATGAAAATAATATTTATTTGATAGAAAATAAATATAAAAAGAATTATAGGTTCAAATATTACAAAACACAAGTAGAAAAATAATTATTTGTTGTTGTTAGAAGTGTCATAAAGATAAATACGTAATTACTAACATAAGTAAAAGTGGACAAAGAATTAATCACACTCGCTATATTTATAATTTTGTTTTCCCCCTATTTGTTACTTTTCTCAAACATTATCGGTTAATACTATCTTCTCTCGTCCAATTTTCACCTTCTTTTTCATTCTCTTTTGTTTTCGTCCTTTTCATTAAACACGAATACGAGCATGACACGAGCACGAATAGGCACGGCACGATTCGAATCGTGCCTGGGCCTGGGCCGGGCCTAGCAAAGTTGACAAATGGGCTTGCATGGCACAGCACGAAAACTGACGGGCCGTGCCAAGCACGACACGAAATAAATGGGCCTGAAGCGTGCCTGTGCCGTGCCGGCCCAAGCACGGCCCAGCGCCCATGTACACTTCTGACCAATTGAATCTATATGTTGCACAGTTCAGATAAGAATGTTAATTTCTCAAATCACGAACCAAAGTTAATTATATAGTTATAATTCGGGCCACCCTCGATAAAACTAAACATCTTACATTCTTACTTCTATTGGGTTTAGGGTATGGAGCACTTCTACTATGCTATATAGCATTGGTGCTTTAATGTACAACTTGAGTTGTACCATAACATTAAACGTATAAGTTTAGGTTGTACCATAAAACAATTTGTATCATTATATTATGGTACAACTTCAAAATTTGTACAATCACATAAATGTACAAGTACAAGTTGTACCATAAAAGAATTTGTACTACCATAACATTAAATGTACAATTTCAAGTTATATCATAAAGACAAAAACCTAAAACACCCAACTATATAGCATTGTAAAATTCCTTTAGTATGTCCTTCACAGATTTGGGGCCTAGTGGCGACGAAACAAGCATACTCCTCACTTTGGGCTCATACTAGATCAAAGGTCAATTGAGCTCAAAATAAAGAACATATCAAAAGCCCATCAAAACGAAACAGCAGGCTACAAGGACAAATAAAGGCCCACAACGGCACAATCGCTGGCTCCGACCGGTTCCCTATTTTTTCCTTTCTTCTTCGTCCCAAACCTTGCCAGGTGATTTTCTCACGATATTCACCTTCTCAAACCAAACCTTTCCGACTCAACCCTCCTACCTGCAGCCGATCAATTGTATACGTGGAACCTGAACTCTCATTGACCTTTTTGACCTGTATCACCGTAGGTTCAATGACCAGGCGAATCAGGCTTCTATATTGGAGCCAGCCATCCCAATTATTAGTAAGAGATGGGCTCAATTGGGGTCATTGGAAGTATGCAGGCACGGTTTTGGATTATGGAGACTAGTTTGTAACAAGGAAGGGAATAACTACGTCATCTTCATTGGCTTTCGAAGCCCCCTCAAATTGTGGATCTGCAACAAGAAAAGAAAAGAGCGTAAACAGATTGTAGGAGGAGGAAGGAAAAAATTACTGAGAGCAGATGGAGTATCTCTGGATCATCAAAATGGAGTATGATTTAGTTTCTGACGGATGACCACCAACGGGAAGATTAATGTTTGGGACTTAGAAGTTAGGACGATGCCCAAAGTTTGTGTTGATGTTGCAATTTGAGTAGGATCAATGCTAACTTTTTATTATTAAGTCATTTAAACGTGGTAAAAATTATGTATAGAAGTTGTGAAAGAGATTTGTAGAATGTTTGGATGTTATTTTGGCCAAACTAAAAGGCTTGGTTTATTAAATTATTTTGGTTCTACATTTTTGCTCGCGTGTCAAGAAGCAACATCCACGTCAACATAATTTGCCATGTCAGAGTCCACTAACGTTCGACTGAATAAAAAGTTAACGGTTTGGCTATTTTATTGTTTGTCGAGAGATTTGGCTAATTTTTTTTTGTTTAAAAGGAAAGGTTTGACTATTATTTTGTTTTAATTCTGTATTAAATCTAATGAACAAGATAATTCGCTCAAAAGTTCGAAGTAAGTCACAATAATTTGTACAAGTGTTTATATCTCATCTTTGTATAGTGGTATGGACTTGTTTAGCTCTTGATTCCTTGTAAGGATAACAATCAAACCCGTAATCATCTATACCATGACTGCCCCGACCTAATTAAAGCTGAAAATATTGTTGCGACTAGATATGAGTAAAACCACAAAAAAGTTTGATGGGAATGAGGAGGGTATGATTTTAGCATTCCCGCCTCAGAATCATACCCACCATAAGCATTTTTTCATGTATAAAAAATAGTGAGATCATATTTTAACCTCTCAACGAAAGAAGTGTAGGTCAATAATAAAAATAAAAAGAGTTGAAATGTAACTAAGTGATCATCCACCAAGCCTTAATTTCTTTCCCTTCAATTCTCCTTTCACTCATTCTCTTCTTTCTCCCTTTTTAACAAGATTGCATTAGACATTTGTTTTTAGCAAATGTGTTGAAGTCGTAGATTAATCATTTGGATAATAGTGTATTTTATTTTATAGGTTAATGGATGTTTTAGAATTGAATGCGTTAAATTAATATTAAAAGTGAATTTCATGATTTATTATGTCTATTTGCGGTAAAGGATACGGTGTTGGGTTATGCACCCTTGCATAACTAGATCCACGCCCTTAATTTTGACAGGGGTCAGGAAAGTCAATATCTAAGGGGTGCGAATTAATGACTTTTGTTTTCTAGGAGTTTTTCATAAACGATGAGGTAACAAGTTTTGCATGGTTATTGACCAGAACTGCTCCCTCTGTTTAATGTTATAATTGAAGATCTTGTTGAATTTTAAATATGGTCATGTTGGATGTAAGATACGAGTATTATCCTCAAGTATCCTAAAATTGAGATACAAAACTTTCCTCATACGAGTATGAAACGGTTACTAGTTAAGTAGTTATAATATTTGAAAATAGGTGTGACGATGGTGTAGGCAAAACCCATTTCCGGTGTAATCTCCGATCTCTAATACCTTGTTTATTATTTATAACAATTATCTTTCTTTTCAGGATAATCTATACAACAGTTTAATGAATTAAGCAGAAAAAAACAAGACGAACTGAAATTAAGGAGACAGAGAGGGAAAAAAGCAAAGCAAGCAGGCAGCAGCATCCCACACACTCTAAAACACTACAGTCTAGAGGTGGTAGCCTAGCCCACCCAAATCACACTGTCACCACCAAAGTGACTCCCTCGCCTTCTTCACTCAACCATATAGCGCTGAGTCTGACGACGCTCTCTCTAACCATTTACCGCAGAAGAAGAAACACCCCGTGCCCGAGAAAAAACGTCGCTCCCCCTTGCCGGCCGCCTACCCAGAAATGCCGACGCCGCCCTAACTGGCCGCCGCTCCGGCGAGGTAAAATCTTCTTCTTCTTCTCCATCTCGATTTTCACTCCTATTCTTTGTTATTTCCAAGAATTGTATGTACGATTGGCTCAGCTTTCTTTCTAATTTCTCTTTTTTACCGTTCGGTGCCCTCACTTTTCTATTGTGGCAGAGATTCCCCTGATCGGAATATATTTGAGCAGTGGTGGTGGTGGCGGAGACTGTCTCGTCACTCGACCCCTATCTCTCTGACACTCTCTGATTCACCATTAACTCCCTCCCTCTCTCTCTCTCTCTCGTCTACACTCTTCTTAATTAGAAACCCTCAATTCCCACACTCCAATCCTCTGCTCCCCCGGGAATCGGAAAATGCTGACGTGTATCGCTCGTCCCAAGCAAGCCGGGGATGAGCCGGACGGCTCATCCACCGCCGCCGGCAACAAAACCAACGGCAGCGGTTCCAACGCCAAAAACAATCAAGCAATCAAATCCCTCACATCTCAGGTTTTCTATTTTATTCGCTCCTTCTCGCGAACGTAAACCCTAAACCTTTTTTTTTTCAAAATTCAATTCGGCGTAATTCTGTTGCAGCTCCGGGACATGGCGTTGAAGGCCTCGGGAGCATACAAGCACTGCGCGCCGTGCACGACGGGGCCGACGACGACCGGCAATCACCAGAGCCGGTTCAAGACGACGACGACGGCGGACTGGGAGGCGGCGGATTCGGAGCGGTTCCGGTGGTCGCTGAAGCGGACGGGGAGCTCGAGCTCGACGACGCCGCGGACGTGGGGGAAAGAGATGGAAGCGCGGCTGAAGGTGATATCGAGCTCGAGCGGGGAAGCGACGCCGACGACGTCGGTGAACGGGAGCGGGCGGCGCGTGGAGCCGCCGATCGTGTTCGTGGAAGAGAGCGAGCCGAAAGAATGGGTGGCCCAGGTGGAGCCCGGCGTCCTGATTACCTTCGTCTCGCTTCCCAGGGGAGGCAACGATCTCAAGCGGATACGTTTCAGGTACACGCCTTCGTACAACTCCACGCCTCTTTTTTTCCTTCTCCAGATTAACGGTCTGGATTCGTTTTTTCTTCCGGTGATCTGGACGATGACCTGGCCGATCTGAAATTTTCGTTTTCCCGGCTTTGAAATCGGACGGTGGTTCGGGGTTTCCGGGGTCAAGTGTGGCCGTTGATTAACAGAGTTATTATTATGATTATGATGAGTAATAATAAGTGGGAACAGAGTGTGGTAGGAGGAGGTCAGGGGTTGGGCCCAGAAGCTTTATTGATTGGTTTGGTTAGCTTCAAACTGATTGCTTTTCATTTTTACAATTGATTTTATTTATTCTTTTCATTTTTTAAACAAAACTTACAAAAGGGGTTACGGAAGTTTGGTCTTTTGAAGTTGCGTGATTCGGTTTGATTTTTGCTTTTGATTATTGTTCGGAGTTGATTATTTAGCTGATTGTTGTCCAGGACTCTAGTCGTAGAGTGCATTAGATGTTTTCATTCGTATATTAACATGTATGTGCTGGTGCGGTTAGATCGCCTTTTTATGCATATAGTTAAATTGTTGCATTGATATATTGTCAAGTTTAATGTATTGTTTGGGAACATACGGGAAGCACAATTAAATAGCGTCAGCATGCTTTGATCGGTCCATATAAACATTATAGTCAACTTCGTGTGAATACAATGATATCAAAATTGGGTGAAACTTTTTTTTTATTTGTTAGATGAATGATTAATTATATAGATTAATTGCTTTATAACTTAGCTCCACTCTAATGATAGGCAATAATAGTATTAGTCAAGGGGAGAAAATTGTGGGGTGCAAAGGATTTTGGTAATCATATTGTTAATATTTCAAAGGTTGCGGTTGGTAAAATGTGACTCAAAAACTAATTATAAAATCTAGCATCTGGACAGACAACCTGTTAATTAAACTATATATGAATATAGCTTTCCCCTTATCTCCAATAGTATTATGGTTGTGTCTTTTTGTAGAAATAGTATTATGATGGTTGTGATGGTTTTCTTATTGTGTTGCTTGAATAGATTATGGTTGTGTGATGTTGATATGTACATGATAGTTACGATGTAAGTTTCATTTAGAAAGCGATGTTGTTGGGATCTGACCTTCTGACTTTTTCGCTACTTGCTCTGGAGATGCTGCTTCGCATTTGTTTGTCTGATTGTCTCATACTACCGTATCTAATCTGTCATTAATTCAACATTAAGAAGCGAAAATCTTTGGATTAATTATTAAGCGTGACGATGGCAGCCAACAGAAGGGTTTTTTTAATAATACTCGATTATTACTAGATGTTCTTATTGGAAATTTTCTTTGAGTGTAATTCTTCTGGTTGAAAAGCATGCAAAGGTAAAAAAGGGTCCAAAAGTGGAACTCATTGTGCCTGCCGCATTAGTGGCTGTGGTGGGGGCAAAGTGATTTTGATAGTGTTCGGCCAAGCTTTTTCTTTGGTTTGTTTTGGACTTCACCGACCCCATTGTCCCTCTGGCTGTCGGAGAGAAGAAGCTGGGCTCTCTTTCTTCCTTCTATTCTTTATTGTTTTTGGCCCTTGTTAGTTCAAAACAAAACAATTCTTCACGCCTGATTCTCGTGCCCTTTGTCACCTTGTGTGGTCAGTGGTCACCACCCAGGTTCCCCCCACCAATCATTTGTCCATTTTGGGGAGGGTTCTTGTCCAGTTGAACTTATGGCCCTCCCTTCTCAAAACTGTATCTTTTGCTCCAAGACAAAAGTGTTGTTGCCCCTTTTGGTTGATCCCAGCAAAAGCTATTGGATTGAACACAGCTACAGACTAACAGTAGAAGGGTTCAGACTCTTAGTTGGTCTAAAGGGGACATTGGAAACAGTCTTATGCTTAATTGGTTCCCAAGAGTTGGTCTTTCTTGCCTGGTAGTTGATTCTAGCTCCATGCTGAAGCTGCTACATTTGGACTCAGTTTCCCCTTTGTTGTGTCCCTGTCTGGTTCCTACCTTGATTTCTTGGTTTCCCTTTTTGCATCTTTTGACTTCAAACAGATCTGTTCCCATATGAAACCCACTCATCATATAGTCTCTTTTTGTTGCTTCTTCACTGTTTCATGTAATGATGTGGCTTCCACATATTATGCTGCTTTGTTGACTAACTAATACTCCCCTTTCTTAGAAAGTAGAGTTTATTATAAGCATTTAGCGGTTCAGCATTGATTTCTTACTCTTAGAGTAGGGTCTAATAACGTGCCTAAAACATGTTTACTGAAGTAATTAGTGGCTATGTAAGCTGGCCTAGTTAGTAGTTCCATCTTTTAGGTAGCCAATGAATGATTGTTTGCTTCATTTATGAACAGAGGGTTAAAGGTGTAGGCATTTTACCTCAGTTATACACAATACTCCGATTCATCGTGAACTGTTCTTGTGCCTCTGCGTATTAAGTCTGGCAAACCATTACGAGGAACCCTGTTAGTTTTAAATCGAAACCGTTTTTTATCCTGCTAAGGGAATGCGTTCTTTGAAATTTTGTTGCTTTGCCTTTGAAGGCGCCGTAAGTCCGTAACTGCTATGTGTTTTTGCAGTGAAGAAGAACTAGATAGTGCATTGCTGTTTGTGTTTTTAACTCTGTTGTCTTCCATTCTGCTCCATCTTTTCTTCAAACTCCTGACTTATTAATGCTTTACCACTACATGAATTCTAGAACATATTTTAAGAATCGAATTTTTTTTCTCTCTGATCAGTCGAGACACGTTCAACAAGTGGCAAGCTCAGAGATGGTGGGCGGAAAACTTTGACAAGGTCATGGAACTTTACAATGTCCAAAGGCTTAGCCGTCAAGCGTTCCCTCTTCCAACACCCCCAAGATCCGAGGACGAGGTAAAGTCTCTACTCATTCCCTTGTCAACTACACCATGGGACTTAAAATGACTTCATTCTGTTAATACTGTACTTTCTTCTGCATGATATGCTTCAGCAGAGCTCAAAGATGGAATCAGCTGAAGATAGCCCAGTCACACCACCACTAAGCAAAGAGCGGCTGCCGCGTAACTTATACCGCCCAACAGGAATGGGAGTAGTAAGCTACTCGTCCTCGGACTCGCTCGACCATCCTCATCATCCGATGCAGATCAGGCAGTACTCGGACTCCATCGGTGGCCTCACTTCCACACCAAAGCTCTCCAGCATAAGCGGGGCTGCCAAGACGGAGACATCAACTTCATCCATGGATGCATCCATGAGAAGAAGCAGCTCATCGAGGGACGCGGATCGCTCGGGGGAGTTGTCGATCAGCAATGCCAGTGATATGATGGACAATGAATGGGTTGAACAGGATGAACCTGGCGTGTACATCACAATTCGAGCCTTGCCCGGTGGAAAGAGGGAGCTGAGACGAGTCAGATTCAGGTAAAGCAAGCATTTTTTCTTCTTGATGCATGAATTCCCCGCCATAATCATTTCCATGTGACATCTTCATTCTACGTGCACATAATTTGATGCTCTCTTCCACTTAAAGTCTTGCCTAGGAAGAGCATAAATTCAGCATGAATCATTTGGCCTTTGGGGCCACGGTTTTACTGATAGCTTATTATGGTGGGTGGGTGCAGCCGTGAGAAATTTGGAGAGATGCATGCGAGACTATGGTGGGAAGAGAACCGAGGTAGAATACATGAACAGTACTTATAGAGTGGAGAGAAGAACTAAACCACAGTGAAAGCACAATGAGGGGAAGTCTTCGAATGGTAAACCAGGCGGGTTTTTTTTACTTGGAGGTTCCAGATTTGAATTTCGATTACATCGATCAAGGTTATATGCTTCGTGGAATCCTATCGGAGCATACCACTCTCTGATATCAGTACCTCAGCTGATGAAAGAATTTTCCCTACACAGATCCTTCTGAAAACAGGTGCTTCCTGTTTGTCTCTCTCACTCTCTCTCTCTCTCTCTCTCTCTCTCTCTCTCTCTCTCTCTCTCTCTCTCTCTCTCTTTTTTCTTGGGTTCAAATGTTTATAGGGGTATTAGAACTGCTGCTTGGTATATGGTCTATGTGTTGATCAAGAAGAAAGAGCAAAGCCTTTTTATCTTTTGTCTTGTAATGTTATTTTACTTCTTACTGTTATTTTACTAGTGGTGGGTAATGAGTATCAATGGAAGAAGTTGGTTACATGGTATCTTTTCCTTTGACATAATCAGTTTTGACCAATTTCTTCTGTTGCATGACCCAAATTAGGGCAATCGATTACAGGCGTGCTTGCTGTCTTTGTAACTGTTTGTGGTCGGCCTCTCTCCTTGACTTTGTTTCTAAACTATCATTAATAGCAGCAGGATGAACCCTAATTTCCTGCCTCCACTTCGCCGATGATGGGTGACGAAAAATTGTGACTAATTTGGTCTCAGATTCACGGAAAACCGAAGAATTTAAGTGGGTCATTGATGATAACTGATGAGTGACCTCGTGATCCAAATTTAAAATGTTATTTTCGCTAAAATGAATCAAATATTCTCGATTTCAAAGAGTGGTATTTTTAGGCCTTTTGATGAACTAGTCTATGAAGTATGTGGGCATTGTGACCTGTCATCTGTGGGGCTTGATAATTGAGACAGAAGCAGGAATGACAATGGAGCAGGTTCGGGGCGAGTATTTCGATACTCATATTTGTCCCATGGCAGGTCGGATTCGGATCGGATAATCATTACAGGATGCGGGTGGAGACAAGTCGACCCAACGAGTATCTATTTTAAAATGAAAACATTAGAAATATTCAATTTTTTCATTAAAATCCCAAAAATCAAACTAAAATATGATAAATGTAGTTAAATTATTCAAAACCTTAGGTTCTCACCTACTTACAACTTTATTATAGTTAAAATATAAGATAATACAAGTAAAATTATAAGTAATTTGAATAAAATTACATGAAATTTAGGCATAGACGGGTTAATAACGAGGCGGGTCAGAGCAGGTTAGGTCGAGGACAGTACCAATGCCCTCTCCGGCCGGCCCCCAAACAAGTCAAACAGGTTGAATAAAACGGGTCAGGTCGAAATTGTCATTCCTAGACAGGAGGCTCGCTTATATGATTTATATGCACAAAGTAGGATCAGTAGAACACATGAATTTCTATGATCCATCTAGCAAGTGTGCACGATATACTTTATAAAGGGCGGGGTTTTCGAAGATAATAACTGTAGTATTACACAATCGCCCTTATTTGATTGAAGGTGTCTCACACATTGAATTTCTATGATCCATTTAGCAAGTGTGCACGATATACTTTATAAACGGTGGGGTTTTTCGAAGATAATAATTGTAGTATTACACAATCACCCTTAATTGATCGAAGGTGTCTCACAGAATCACCCTTGTTAAATGTATAAATAGGAACTCTCTCTTCATAAGCAAGGTAAGAATAATGTAGTGAAAAACGAGTTTCTACACAGAAATGTTTTGGTGATCTAAAAGCGTAAAATCGTAAATTTTTAAGTTTTAAAGCGAAGTCTGTAACTAAATAAGTTATACAAACTGTGATTTTGTGTAACTACGTTTTAATAACCTAAAAACATAAAATCGTAAGTTTTAAAGTGCGATTTTTACATCTGGCCTGTCAATTCTCAACTACATTATCCCAAACCAACCAGGAGCGCTCAAACCCATGGGATTTTTGACATCTTAGCTTTAGTGAGTCAGCACTCGAGTACCATGTAAATTGTAATGGGCCAATATAATTCCTACGACTTTGCCTCCCAAACTATTTAATTGGGCCTTTCCCATAAAAAAAAAACTATTTAATTGGGCCTAGATCCACCCGGACAAAATTGCTTCACTAGATCCAGCCAATTCTTCTCCGCATCAGCTAATAAATCTGATTTACTCCTCTGCTTTTGATCAGTCGCCAATTTGTGGATCGAGATTTTAATAACTTGGCACGTTAGATGACTCGTCATTTCTACCGGCGAGTTCGGAGTTGATTTGCTAAATTTATTCACATTCTTATTTTTAATTGGTAAACTCATAACATCTTCATTCTCGGATGGGTGAAAGCAACGACGGGGCCAAAAATTTGACTCGGGGAGTCCCCTTCCAAAATTATATTAAAAGAATAATTAAAAATTAAAAATATTGCAAAATTAACTAGTAAATATTCGGCTATTATAATTTATAGTGAAATACCACAATGTATTTTCATTTTCTCGAGAAAAAATACACGTAATCATTATGGTTCTCAACAAATCTTTTTCATGTATGACAATCATTTACGAACTAAGTGTATATTCGGTTAAATAACTTTTTCTTTATGTAGCAGCATCAAATTGGAAACATCTTTCAACACTTGTAGTTGCAACTGGTAAAATGGATACTAATTTGAGAAGTAAATAGTCCGACAAATATGATAGATTCACTTTTGTCTTCACCATAAACTAAGTTAACTCATTAATTCCGTTTAATCTAAAGAAGAACTCATCATTCTTGACATAACGATAATAATTCTCAAAGTTTCGTAGAAGAAATAAGTCATAAAGGTGATCAAACGTTTTAGGATAAAATCGAGTAAGACTTATTAACTTCTCCTTGTCAAATCTTAAGGGTTGTCCCAAACATTACGAAATAACCATGGATACGTCCTTATTCTAAACTCAAATTACTATCGGAGGTAAACAACCACCCCCCCCCCCTTTAGGGATGTCTCGAGACACTTATAAACACCCATGGATCCGTCCTTATTCTTATTCCTATCCCCATCATCGCGGTTTCCAGATACCCGTGGATAATACCATCCTGCAAATCAGAACCAAACTCAATTTAAAATCAATGTAATTAAGTGGAAGACACACACAATTTTTAGAGCTAGAACGTTGAACATAGATTATGTATCATAAATTAATCGTATGAGAAACTTAACAAAAATTGAAATTGTTAAGGGAAATCAATAATAAAAAGATGGCATATATATATTGATGGAATTGGAAAAGTAAAATTAATGTTTTTAGCGTTATGTTATATTATAATTTAGTGAAAGATGGAAGATGTAGATATCAATGACATGTAACTGAGTGTAGCTAGCATATGAATTACATGAGAGGCGGTTATGATTACAGAGATGGGTTGGGAACCCCTAAACCCATCTCCAGCCTATAATCACCACTTTCTTTGTACATATTTGTTAGAGTAAATCCTATGTGGTATCAGTAATAATACACAACAGTTTCCACCATATTCTGATTTATCGACAGTATTATTCATACTCGTACTATATCCAGTCAATATAGGAATTTTTATTGTTGATTGGGACGGTACGAGCAGAATCGAATACCCACAATTGAAAATACAATTTCCATCCCTACTTGTAGGAATTTTTATTATTGATTGGGACGGTACGAGCAGAATCGAATACCCACAATTTGAAATACAATTTCCGTCCCTACTTGTCATGTTCTCCGTTGATCATCCCAAAGATTAATGGAGTTCGATCTCCCCATTTGATTAAATTATCTCAACAAGATTGGTAATGTTGGTACAGACTTGGGCTGAGAAATTAAGTATTGTACGATATATGGCCAGGAACATAGTGCAGTTTATGTAAAGGTTGCTGTACTGGTCAAGCCCAATCGAATGGGCCGATCAAACTTGTTGCTCTTTTCCTTCTTAGTGTTGGGCTAAGTACGTAATGTTTTAACTCAATGATCCACATAACATAAGTGTGTTTTTTGTTTGTTTTTTTTTTTATAACTGGCCTGTAATTTTATTAAGTCAAAATGTGGCTATTACAATCAGCTATCAGTTGGTTTAATAAACAGACCGGTGGCCGGTCTAACCATATCTCTGATTCCTCCCAACCACTTCTCACTTTGGCCATCAGATGAGCCGCCTCATTTCCTTTTCTTCCCCAAAAACGAATCCTACCTCTCCATCCTCCTCCATCGCCTGCCTGATCTCCTTACATACCGTCTCAATCTCCATCTCCGTTCGATCTTCCTCCATGACCCTTCTAACTACCAAGAGGCAATCTGATTCAATCAGTAGAGGGCGGTAATGGTGATTGGTGCATAAATTCATAGCCCAGAAGACCGCCTTCGCTTCTGCTAATTCAGGCGTCCATGCAGTTCTCGTCCGGTGAGCTGCTGCCATTCGGAAGTTTCCAGCATCATCTCGCACCACCAGCCCGAAGCCCGTACCTCCTTCCTTCAAGATCGCTGCATCGACATTCGCTTTGAAACTGCCTGCTCTTGGTTTCTCCCATCTGTATTCCATCTTCGCCACCAGGTTCGTACTCTTTGTCTGAACTGCTCTATATGCTTCCAGATACTGCTCCGATCTTGCGATTATCTTCCATTCTTCGAGCTTTGGATTATTGAATAGATGATTATTCCTTTCCTTCCATAAGAACCATAGTGCTGTTACAAACATCCCCAATTCATCATCTGTCGATTTCTCCATTACTTCACAGATCCATTCCTCGCTTGTCTTCCCATACCCTGAACTAAACATCTTGCTCAACGAACTAGGGCGTCAGACTCTGCCCGCCCAGTCACAATCACGGGTTATATGTTCTTGTGTTTCTGTTAATCCGCAGAAAGGACATCCATCATATGCATCTGTGATTCGTCTTGCCAAATTTGAACCTGTCGGTAGGATATTGCTTCCCCATCTCCATATGAAAACTCTGATTTTGGGGGGGATTTGCAGGTGCCATAATCTCTTCCAGTCAATAGGGACGTACCTTTCTCCTTCCACATTCTCTCTTTTGCGTCTCCATAGATGATAGGCCGATTTCACAGAGTACTTTCCCAACTTCTCCGGTCCCCAAACCCTTGTATCTTCAAGCGGATATCCTGGTAGTGGAATTTGTAGGATTCTTTTACGATCTGCAGGGTGGAAATGGGCCTGTAGTAAGTTGCTCTTCCACATTCTGTTTTCATCATCTATCAGACTTGCTACTCTAGCATCCCAATGTAATCCATTCATCCTTGTCTCAACTTTGTAATCTGGGCCTTCTGGGACCCATCGATCCCACCATATTCGAGCTTGCCTCCCATCACCAATCCTCCACCTTGTGCCTTCCTTAACCAAACCTTGAGCTGCCATCAACGATCTCCATATATAACTCGGGTTGTTTCCAACCTGAGCTTCTAGGACTGAGCAATGAGGATAATACTTGGCCTTTAGAACTTTTGCCACGAGGGAGGTAGGATTTTTTAGTAAGTTCCGTACCTGTCTTCCCAGCAGCGCCAGATTAAAACCATGTAGATCCCGAAATGCCATTCCTCCTTCGTGCTTTGGTC